CTGTGGGGCTGACACCTAAATCCCATGTGGGGCTGACACCCCAGTCCCACTTGGGGCTGACACCCCAATCCCACGTGGGGGCTGACACCCCAATCCAATGTAGGGCTGGCACCCCAGTCCCATGTGGGGCTGACACCTCAGTCCCATGTGGGGCTGACACCCCTATCCCCTGTGGGGCTGACACCCCAATCCCATGTGGGGCTGACACCCCAATCCTATATGGGGTTGACACCCCAGTCCCCTACAGGGCTGACCTTGGGATCCCCTTGGGGGTCTATGGCGGGGCCAAGCTCAGTGTGGCAGTGCCGTGGTGCAAAGCATGGCACAGCTGTGACACGGCACACCTGGCACACAGCACAGCTGGCACACGGCACAGTGGCACATGGCACAGTGCAGATGCCTCCCCCCATTTGGCACAGCCCTGCACATATTTGCACTCCCCAAAAGCACGCAGAGGTCCCAGCAGGACCCGTGGGGACCTGCCTGCCACCGCCCCAGCACGCCAGCAGCAGGAACGGCACTGCCAGCACGGCCGATGGGCTGGGACTCGTCAGGAGCACGTGCTCATATTGCCCCAAAAAGGATCAGCACAGCTGCCCCATGAGCATGGGATTGGCAGAGCTGCCCCATGAGCACACCCCTGCCCACACACACATGGATCACAGACTGCACAGCTGCCCCATAAGCAGCTGTCATGGCTGCCCCATGAGCCCACACCTGCCCATGGTGTGGGTCACACACACGGATCACAGGCACCACCATGGCACCCACCTGTGCCGGTGGATGATGGCGTTGAAGAGGCGCCCGTCCCGCCAGCTGGTGGTGAAGTTGTCACAGCGCAGGCCCTGGTAATCCTCCACCATCCGCTGGGACCACAGCAGCAGCTTCTCCTTGGCTGTCATGTCCTCTGACTGCCCGGTCACCTGGATGTCTGAGATCTGCCAGGACACAGCTGTTAGTCTGGAAACTGGCACAGTGACACCCGCTGCATGGCCACAGTGACACCACTGCTGCCTCACTGGGGACCAGACCGGCCCAGGGAGGCCCCCAGCCCCACATATCCTGGCCCCTTGGTCCCACTGTCCCATCCCCACCCCACCGGGCTCACCTGGAAGTGGAGGATGATGGTCCAGATGAGCCCCAGCGTCAGTTTGGGGTTACCGTCGGCGATGTCATCGTTGCGGATGTTCACCAGCTTCACCTGCAGCACGGGGCACACGCAGGTCAGGCACGGGACAGCCTGGC